GGTGGATGCCCTCCGCACGACAGAAAGCTCGCAGAAGGTCGGAGGAAAACTCTCCGCCTCTGTCGGAGTGCAGACGCAGAACAGGAAAGTCCGAGCCGAACCTCTCTCTGAGCTGGAGACGGGCAGCGCCGATCCAGTCGATCAACACCTTACTGACCTCACCCTTGCAGCGCAAGGGAAAGACTGTGGTGTAACGCGAGTAGCCGTCCACCACCAGCAGGAAGTAACGCTCGTGACCCTGTCCACGGACGCGGGCTGGGCCCCACACGTCCATGTGGAGAGTCTAAAGTGGAGCCTCTGTCGGAGGAAACTGGGAGGAGTGAGGAGCGGCGCGCTGCCGCCCCTCGACGCAGGGAACGCATGTAGGGGCTAGCCCTGGGGGAAGGGGAGGGAGGGACCGGGGGAGACCAGAGACAAGGACACGGGAGGACATGCCTCGAAGACGAGGCAGGGAAGGGTGACCAAGGCGGTGGTGCCAGAGGAGAGTCTGGTGAGACAAGAGACGACACGAGCAGGGGGCAGACTCAGGACCAAACCTGGACGCTGCAGCAAACACTTGACACGACGCAGCTACCTGACCAGACATAGTAACCAGAGGAAACTGAGTAGTCAGTGTGTAGAGGCTCGACCCCGGCTGACGGGTAAACGTGGCCAAGTGTCGGCCCGTCCGAGCACACGTGCAGTGGGTCACTCGCTAACTCGCAGGAGTGAAGTGGTCAACCCCCCCATCCTGTAGGTCAGCACCTCTCACCAAGTTCGTGGAGAATAAGGGGAGGTAAGGACCTGACAAGGAGCCAGACGGGGCCGGCGGACACTGTAGGACAGTGGAGTAGTGGGCAAGGACAGGACCCCCAGAGGGGTCTGCCAGGGAGACAACAACCGGCCGACTAAGCGGCGTGAGTGTGGTGCGGTCTCGAAAGAAGGAGCGGGAAGCACCCGAGTCAGGGGTGAAGGTGTGCAAGACCGCAGCAGGCGCAGCACCAGAGAGAGCAGACTCACCAGCACCTGGAGCAGTAGACTCACCAGCGCCTAGAGCAGCAGCCTCACCAACACCTGGAGCAAGAGACACACGAGCACATAGAGCAGCAGCCTCACCGGCACCTGGAGCAGGAGACGCACCAGCACCTAGAGTAGCAGACTCATCAGCACCTAGAGCAGCAGACTGGATACCGGGGTCAGGCGGCACATGCAGGTGACAGGCACCCTTAGCACTAGTAGACAATGCATACATGGCAGTGAGGATAGCATCATAGACAAGAGCAAAGATATCTACCCTCTGCCTAAGCAGCTCCACCCAGTCAAGGAGCTCAGCGTCGTCGCCAAACTCTGTGCGCCAAGCGTCGCTCAGACGGGCGAAGCAGCGGGACTCTGTGTGACTAACCGTCCCGCAAGGCTGACCAGTCCGAACACCCGTGCGAATGACGTACGGGCAGCGAGCAGTTATCAGCGACCCTCTACTTTGAGCATACCACTCACGAAGCTGCTGGGGCGAAAGAGCCTCGCTCGGACGATGCTGCAGCTGCACGTGGCCACTACCAGAAGCTCCCGAACTACCCACTCCAGGGCGACTCCCACTACAGCCACCTCGACAACCCCAACTAGCGTACCACTCACGAAGCTGCTGGAGCGTGAGGTACTCACGCGGACGGCCCTGGAGCTGCATCTGGCCACGCCAGGAGCAGCAGTAGCAGCAGTAGCAGCAGTAACATCAGTAACACCAGTAGCGGCAGTAGCAGCGGTAGCAACGCGGGCAGGCCAGTGCTCACCAGTGGAGGGAAGGGCGGGCGCACGACGGCGGCGACGGTGGGGCCGCTACAGAGGCAGAGCGGGGCCGCGACCGCGGCAGGGAGCTCCGCGGCACTTGGTGCAGGGCGGGGCCGGGCCGCGACGGCAGTTGGTGCAGGGCGGGGACAGGGCCACGACGGCAGCTGCTGCAGGGCGGGGCAGTCCGCGACGGCCGCTGCTCTAGGGTGGGGCAGGGCCGCGACGGCAGCTGCTGCAGGGTGGTGCAGGGGCGGCCGTCCAAAAGGGCGGGCGCGGGGTAGGGCAGGGCGCCGCGGCGGGCAGGGGCGACGCAGCGCGGGTCCCGCAGGGGCGTCGCAACGAGCGGGGGCGATGCCCGGGACCCGTTGGGGCGGCGCGACGCGCAGGAGCCGCGCCTCGCGGGTCCCGCAGGGGCGTCGCGACGAGGCGGGGGCGACGCACGGGTCCCGCAGGGGCGTCGCGACGAGGCGAGGGGCGACGCGCGGGTCCCGCAAGGGCGTCGCGATAAGGCAGGGGCGACGCGTTGTGATGAGGCAGAGGCAGGGCGACGCGTCGCGGGGTCCAGGGGCCGCGCCGCGGGGTCCAGGGGCGGCTGCGAGGGTGCAGGGCAGGGACGGCTGCTCCAGGGGCCAGGGGCGGCTGGTCCAGGGGCCAGGGGCGGCTGTTGCACGAGCGGCTGCTCCAGGGGCCAGGGGCGGCTGCTGCAGTGGCGGCTGCTCCAGGGGCCAGGGGCGTAAGTAGGCAGGCGCTCAAGGGCGCGGGTAAGCAGGTGCTCGAGGGCGCGGGTAGGCAGGCGCTCGAGGGCGCGAGTAGGCAGGCGCTCGAGGGCGCGGGTAGTCAGGCGCAAGGCACGTGACAGGGCAGGCAGGCACGACAGTGCGATTAGGGCAGGGCAGAAAAAAGTTTGTGGTGGGCCCTAAAAAAAAAAAATCCGGTCCCACTAGGGAACCTGCTCTGAAACCATGTTAGAATTACAGAACAAGGAATAGCTGAACTAGCAAGGAGATGGGTACAAGTAGGGAAACCTAGCAGTGTTGTACCCCAAATGGTCTACCCCACTACAGCCTACACAGACTATGTCATGTATGTTTGACACTAGGCTAGCCATGTACTCTAAAGGGTATCTTCCCTTATTGTAGCGAATTCAAATTGTGCGGCGCGGGAACCTGTTTCAAACCTGTTCCTGCTCTTTTCACTTCAAATGTTTCTGCCTGCATCAATCTTGATCAGACGGTTGCTGCGTCGCTTCGACTCTTCTGACTCCTCGACTTCATACTCGGTAGAGTCAGCTCCTGCAGCATACAGGAATGCCTTCTCATATGATTTTATATCGTAACAAACTGGAAAGCTGAAATGGGAGGGACTTCAACTGACTGTCGGGTTTGCGTGGCCGCAACAGTTTCGTGGTAGTGTCATAGCACGCGGTTGAAGTGGGGTTTTTATGCGTTCGGTAGCCAAGTTGCACTGGACAGGCTCGGTGTTCTAGTAACGGTTTGCTGGGCTTTAATCAAATTTGAATTTAGGAAACAGAAGATCCCACCCACCAACCGCAGTATGACTCGGAGGGCTACCAAACAAGGCCTAAGGATGATCCTGGAGGTTTGACCAGAGCCCGGGTCACCCTAAGGACGCGGCACCTGTTTTCAAAATGCCAGGATCGATTGTGGAAGGGGATCGATATGCCGCTTGTACAATGTATTGGCGGATTCGCCAATGCCTTGTATCCGTTTTTCGCAGAACGTCGAAGATGTACAGTAAACGAGTGCTGTGCCATGGTGCACACATCGATCGTGCGTTTGGATTGACCGGAGAGCACATCGCGCCGTAGGTGACAGCCGCAATCGGTCGTGGTCGTCTACTGTCGCGGGCCAAAAATGATTGGATAGCGACAAGCTGTGCTTTGCTATGAATGGTTAACGAGGAAGTTGTTGGAGTATTCCTCTGCGAGTCCTACGTACCCGACCATCACTTTCGAACCTGGCACCCATGGCTCGGCGTGTCAATCACGCTGCAGATTTGCACTGTGTGCACATCGGTGTGCCGATCGATGTGGGAGAATCAGTGTACGGGCTTCGATTCCCTCGATCCTGGAAAAAACAAAACATGTACCGCGTCCTAGCTTTCCTAGTTCAGACTTAATGAACCATTGCCATTCTAGACTCGGGTTTTAAATTACCCAAGCGCTAGTTTTCGTGCCGCCATTGACAACCCTACAAAACGCGCTGATAACCCTAAACCGCCGAAAACAAAGCCTATTTGTTTGCGATGTTAGCGCCGCTGTAGCACGGGCCAACCATGTTCTTCCACGTGGTGCTGGAGAAGAAGCTCCAGCTGCACCCGCGGCACTTCGGCCCGCACCTTCGCGAGAAGCTCGTCTCGAAACTGGTGGCTGAGGTGGAAGGCACGTGCACGTGAGTATAGCGAGGGGAGGTGGAAGGCAGGTGCACGCGAGTACAGCGAGAGGGGGATTACGGCACGGGATAATATAAAGAGTACGAGATATAGGTGAGTATAGCGATTGGATGTCGCGAGGGGGGTTGGAAGGCACGTGCACGTTTCTGGTGGCGATGACGATGGTAAGGGACGGCCGTGGGCACAGGCACAGTGCGTAATTTCATATATAATTCTCGAAAGCGCTATGCCATGGGCATGGGCTAGCGACCTTTGAGTCGACTCAAATGTCACCTCTTTGTGGTGTGGTGGTGGTGGTGGCAATGGCAGCGCTGGGGAGCTTGGGCACAAGGGAGTGCGTGCTGACATGACTTAGTGACCTTTCCCCGCTCCTATTCCCCCTCATTTCCGCTTACCCGCCCCCCCCTGCCTCCTTTCCTGCTCTTATTCCCCCTCATTTCCGCCTACCCGTCCCCCCCGCCCCTGCCCCCTTCCCGCTCTTATTCCCCCTCATTTCCGCCTACCCGTCCCCCCCGCCCCCGCCCCTTTCTTTGTTCTTATTCCCCCTCATTTCCGCCTACCCGTCCCCCTCTGCCCCCTTCCCTGCTCTTATTCCCCCTCATTTCTGCCTACCCGTCCCCCCCGCCCCCGCCCCTTTCTTTGTTCTTATTCCCCCTCATTTCCGCCTACCCGTCCCCCTCTGCCCCCTTCCCTGCTCTTATTCCCCCTCATTTCCGCCTACCCGTCCCCCTCTGCCCCCTTCCCTGCTCTTATTCCCCCTCATTTCCGCCTACCCGTCCTTCCCTCTGATCCCCCGTGCCGCATCATCACCACCGGAGGTCAGCATGGGTGTGTGGCGGCGCTGTGACGGCTGTATTGAGTGAGTGTGGTAGGGTAGGGGGCGCGCGATCACAAATTGGGTTTGAGGCGTCTCACGACCAGTTGGTCGTTCATCACGTGCACGACGGCACGGGCTACGTGACGATGATGCTATTCCCCTTCTTTTTCTTTCTTCTCACCCACCCCCTTCCCATGCCTTGCCAACACTAGAGATTGACAGTGGCTGCAACAACAGTTAACATTGTGGCGACGTAGGCACCGTGATGACACGGGCATAGTGTGAGATGACACAGGCTGCTGACCTTCCCCACTCTTATCCCGTTCCTTCCGCCCACATGCCCCTGCCCTCGTCCCTGCTCTTATCGCCCTCATCACCACCACCAGGGGTCGGCATGGGTTTGTGGTGGCGGTGACAACAGTGGAGAGTGTGGGCACGGGGATAGTGCGCGACGACACGGGCTATGTGACCTTCCCCGTGCGCTACCAGTGTGTCGTGTTCCGGCCGTTCAAAGGGGAGATTCTGGAGGGGGTGGTCACCACCGTCAACAAGGTACCACCACGGTCAAACCAGGTCATTCCTAGTCAATGTGAGTCATTGCGGGTCAATATGATGACTACTGAGCTGACTCACAAGTCATTCCGTGGTCTTCCGGTCGTTCAAACAAAAGAATCCCAAGGGAGTGCCCACCACCGTCAATAAGGTACCACCATGGTCAATGCAAGTCAACGCGAGTCAACATGACTCAAATCGCGTCAATCATTTGGCCATTGAGTTGACTCACAAGTCACCCTGTGCGCTACCAGTGCATGGTTTTCCAGCCGTTCAAAGGCGAGATTCCCAAGGGAATGGTTACGACCGTCAATAAAGTACCAGCAGCACAATCAACGCAAATCAAGGAGAGTCAATAAGGTGATGTGCGCTACCAGTGTAGTGTGTGGTCTCCCAGCCGTTCAAAGGAGAGATTCTTGAGGGGGTGTTCATCACTGTCAACAAAGTACCTACCACTGGCGCGGTCAACACAAATCAGTGAGAGTCAATAAGATGGTCGCCCTGTGTGCCACCAGTGCGTGGTGCTCCAGCCATTCCAAGTGGGGGATTCTCGAGGGAGTGGTTACGACTGTCAATAAGGTACTAGTGGCAGCAGCAACGCAGGTTAACGTGAGTCAAGGTACTACCACGCAACCATGGCGACACAGGGTCAGTCTGTGTTATCGCCTCCTAGCATGCATCCCTCCTCAGCCACGTATTACCACAACAACAAACCCATGCTCCCCACCTCCCTGCCCCACATAGCCCATTTTCAAGTTGACTAATAACTCTCTGCCACGCACTGCCTCTGCAACCCATCCCCTCCCCCCCCCCCCTGGCGCCACCCTCCTTCCATGTCTGCAGATGGGCTTCTTTGCTGAAGCAGGCCCCGTGCAGATATTTGTGTCCAACCATGTGAGTCGCAGTGCTTGACTCCTCTCAAAACTCATCTCTGCATATGGCCTTCATTCATTGCTCAACCACGCCCCATGCAAATAGTTGTGTCCAACCATTTATAATGCTGGTAAAAGATGACTTGTTCATGATGAGCCTCAGAAGGCGTGTCAGATGACTTGTTGGCATGCGGTGCATGAATCATGCGAGATGAGCTCGTCTTAGTCGCCTGCAACAATCGTACATATTAAATTTTCCGGAGGCACCTAAATCGAGGTGGCTCACAAATTGTACGAGATTACGTCTGCTGATGCAAGATCACGTCTGCTGATGCAAGATCACGTCTGCTGATGCAAGATCACGTCTGCTGATGCAAGATCACGTCTGCTGATGCAAGATCACGTCTGCTGATGCATGTATTTGGTGTTAACATCAGTTGTGCTCACACGTTCACGTGTGTGTGTGGTGCATGTGCATGTGTGGTGCATGTGCACGTGTCTCTTTCTCTCTGTCCTCAGCTCATTCCTGACGACATGTCCTTCACACCTGGCGACATCAACAGCTACCAGACAGAAGACGGCACGGTGAGATGCAGTGCTACGTGGTGATATGTGGTGAGACGCGGTGATAGGTGAGACGCGGTGATAGGTGAGACGCTGTGGTGTGACATGCAGTGAGACGCTGTGATGTGATAAGCGATGAGACGCTGTGATGTGATATGCGGTGAGACGCTGTGATGTGATATGCGGTGAGACGCTGTGATGTGATATGCGGTGAGACGCTGTGATGTGATATGCAGTGACACGCTGTGATATGTGGTGATATGTGGTGAGACGCGGTGATGTGATATGCGGTGAGACGCTGTGATAGGACGCCGTCATCAGTGCGGCGACGTGCAGTAATACATGGAAACATACGGTGGATGGCATGGTGACCCTTTTTTTTTCTCCATCGCTCCTACTCCCAATCACTGCCTGCTCATGCTTTTGTTTCCCTGCTGTTGCTGCTGCCCGGCTGTCGCTGTTGCCCGGCTGTCGCCACTCAGGTGAAAATCCAGGCGGACAGTGAGGTGCGGCTGAAGATAGTGGGCACGCGGGTGGACGCCACAGAAATTGTGAGTCCGGGTGGCGGGGGGTGAGTTATGGCAGGGCTTTAAGACAGCCAAAAGATCCAGGTGGACAAGGAGAGGTGCAGGTGCATGTGAAGATGGTGGGCACACGGGTGGATGCGTCAGAGATTGTGAGTGTGAGGGTCATCATTGATAGTGATGAGATGGGTGCTTCTCAGATGGATGCGTCTGAAACAGTAGGCACAGGGGTATGAGCAGCACCCATCCATGTGAGCAGCACCCATCCATGTGAGCAGCATCCATCCATGTGAGCAACACCCATCTATGTGAGCAACACCCATCCATGTGAGCAACACCCATCCATGTGAGCAGCACCCATCCATGTGAGCAGCACCCATCCATGTGAGCAGCACCCATCCATGTGAGCAGCACCCATCCATGTGAGCAGCACCCATGTATGTGGCTGAGTCTATGAGTCTCCAGGGGTGGGGCTTGAGGCAGCGAAGTTGATTCAAAATGGCATGTATTGGACGGACAGTGACGTGTGGTTGAAAACAATGGATACTTGGGTGTGAGGCAGGTGAGATTGCGAGGCAGGTGAGATTGCGAGGCAGGTGAGATTGCAAATGGGATGCGATTGTGGGTTGAGTGCGATTGCAAGTCTACATGCGATGGGTTTGTAGAAAGGAGGGGATTCTGAATGTCATGCTTTACATGACCAGGAGTGAATTTTGAGTTGACTTGATCAAGTCACCTCGAGTCGAGTATTGTCGTGATTTGCATGCGACGGGTACATACAAAGGAGCGGATTTTGGATATCGTGGTACAGGTGACACGGAGTAGGTGAGTTAGGTTCTATGAGTTGACACAAGGGTGTTGAGTTGAGTCAAGTGCTATGAGTTGACATGTGTTCAATCAACGGTTCCTATCGTTCCATGTGTTAAACGAATCTCAGTCAGGTCTCGGTCGGGCCTGTCAAGGATGACAAGCACACATGCGCATGTGCACCGCAACCCTCTCCACCCACCACACACTCACACAGACTTGCATGCACGCGCGCGTGCACACACACACACATGCACACACACAAACACACACACACGCACAGACACACACACACACACACACACACACACACACACACACACACACACACACACACGCACGCACGCACACACATGCCCGTTTCTCCTTCTTTGATCCTCTTCTTTTCCCTCGTGCAGTTCTGCATTGGGACCATCAAGGATGATTACCTTGGACTTGTCTCTGAAGGGGGCGCCCCCATTTAGGCTTTACTAACTCACCTCGCTTTCATGCAGCAAAATGAGGCTACTTGTTGTGCCCAGAGTTTCTTGAGCCTGAACTCAAATCTTGGTACAGGGTGTAAATCCCCTAGATAGTAGTAAATCCCCTCCCTAGATTGTTGTACGGTAAATCCCTAGCATTTTCGGATATTTTGTATGAAAAAAAAAAAAGGTGTATGTTCAATTATGGTACTGGCATCGTGCACCATATACCGAATGATTCGGTGTCCCCTTGGAAAAAGCGCATCATTTAAATTGGCATATGCGCTTGTATCCTAACGAGCGTATTCCTACGACCCCATATCAGGCCAACCTCGTATCAAAATTGGAAAACCTTGACAAATTTGTTACAAATCCGGAATTTAGTACTTGTAATGTGTCAGAAATAACAGGTAAGAATGGGTGACTAGAAAGCAAGGATGAGTACAAGTAGGGCAATGTCTAACCCTAAAGTGTTGTACACAGTAGAGGCTATCCCACTACAACCTACAACATAGAAACATAGTTTGACACACCCCCATAGGCGAAATGGGGGATATCAAGAACAACCAACGGTCACAAGACCAGTCAAGAAAGAGAACAAAATAAAACAAAACTCACGGTGGATTTCAAGATCACCACGCGGTCTGAGCACAAGCAAGCGGCCACAAGGCCAGTTCACCTGCGGAGTTATAAAAGCACAAGCAGTACAGTGATCACAACCTAGCAAGAGCAAGCTGTCAAATGTTGTAGCCTGTAGTAAAGTTTGTCTTAGGGGGTACAAATGTTAGGGTTTGCTATATGTACCCCAACCCTTATCAATAACACAACACTTTCATTCTTGACATGGTATCACCTAGGTTAGGATCCAGTGGGACCCTAAACGCCCGCTCGCGCGCCGCGTCCGTCGCCGCGGCGCCCTTTATTTCCATCGCCGCGGCGCCCCGCATTTCGTCGCCGCGGCGCCCTGCTCGTCTCGTCGCCGCGCCTGCTCGTTAGGCCCGCCGCGGGCCCTCCCTTACAGCCGCCGCGGGCCCTCACTTATAGCCGCCGCGCCTGCCCGTACCGCCCGCCGCCGCGCCTACTAGTTAGGCCCGCCGCGGGCCCTCCCTTACAGCCGCCGCGGGCCCTCCCTTACAGCCGCCGCGCCTGCCCGTACCGCACGCCGCCGCGCCTGCTTGTTAGGCACGCCGCGGGCCCTCCCTTATAGCCGCCGTGGGCCCTCCCTTACAGCCGCCGCGCTTGCCAGTTCCGCCAGCCGCCGCGCCTCCTCGTTAGGTCCGCTATGGGCCCGCTCGTTAGGCCTTTCCTTCGCACCGCTGCGCCTACTTGTTCAGTCTGCTGCGGGACCGCCCCTTGCCCCGTTGCGCCCGCCACGGAGTTGCCCTAGCTGCCCAGAGTCCCTACCAGTGCCACCCACCACCGGACTTGTCGCTTCTACTTACAATATGGCGACCCCTAAGGTTCTTCGCTTTGACGCTGACGGTAGACCGCTGGAGTTTCCGGTCTAGGTCCTACGCGCGCGTCGCCTTTTAGAGAGTCAGGTTCAGGCGAGCGAGTCCCTTTGGGCGCACGCTACTGGTGACCTTCCAGCTTCCTTACACCTTTAGACCTCGCCCCTGACGATGCAGCCAGGGACCGCTTCACCCACCAACGTGCTGACCTGACGGCGTGGAAGTCGCGTGACGCTGCGGCCTGCATCGCTCTTAGCAGCCTCCTCCCTGAGTCTGAGGAGGCCCACTTCACTCAGGTTCGCACTGCTAGTGAGCTCCTGACTGCAATTAAGGCCTGCTACGCTACTCCCACCACTGTCTCTCTTGGCCGACTCTTCCTACCGTTCCTGTTCCGTGACCTCACCTCTTTTGAGCACTCTGCTGACTTTATTGCTCACCTCCGCTCGCTTGATTCTAGCTACCGCGCTGCTTGCACTGAGGCACAGCTTGCACTGCTTCCTCCCCCCATGGCGATTAATATCTATTTCATCGCCACTAGCCTCCGTGACCGCCTTGCCTCAGTGCGTGACACGCTTCTTCTGAAGCACCCTAGTGAGCTCACTATCGAGGTCCTCGAGTCTGCGCTCAAGGACGTCGAGAGCAACCTCCGCTCCGTAGCCTCCACCTCTGGTGTTGTGCCCCCTCCACTGTTCCACGGGTGCACTATCCCTCAGCTGCCCACCTTTACACCCTCTCTAGCCACTGCCGCTACTGACGTGACCGCAGCTGCTGTTACGACTTCTTCGCGGTCTCGAGGTAGAGGTGGCAAGAGGGGCGGTCAGGGTACCGGTGGCGGCGGCGGTGGAGGCGTTGGCGGCGGAGGTGGCAGGGGTGGCGTGCAGACTGGTGGCGGAGGGAGCACAGGGCCTGGACAGGCGTCTCGTGCAGCCGCCAGTGACTTCTCTACTGCAGCTGGTGGAGGCGACACCCGGGCTCGTCAGCCTCCTTTTGGTCTGCCGGCCGCGCCGGGTGGAGCAGCGGCGTGGTACCTAGCCCAGCGGCAGTAGCAGCTGCAGCAGCAACAGCCCCTCCCCTCGCAGCAGCCCTCGCAGCAGCAGCGGCAGCAGCAGGTTTCGGGGCCAGGACAGCGCCAGCCCCAGCAAGGTGTTGTTCACCCTCGTGCACCTATTAGCTTTTGACAGGTGCTTGCCGAGGCCAGCCTTGTGGCCGCACCCACCCTCCTCGTCAGTGTTTTGCTCAGCTCACTAACACAGTTCGCTTGGCCTTCGGCGTTGGCGGCCCTGCCCCTGACTAGTTTCCTCTTGTTCAGACGTATGGCTCCGCTCTTTGGGGCATGTCAGCTTCTCAGTTGGCTGATCTCTTAGGAACTCCTCATGCTATGTATGCAGTCGTAGATTCGAGTGCTTCTGACTCTGTTTACTGGAGTGTTGTTAGCTTAGGTGCTAGTCTTGCTGAGTTGCCTGTTGCTAGCGTAGGCACTTGTGTAGACACTAGTACAGGAGCGACTTCGGAGGACTCTTCGCTGTCTTTTACTTTGGATTCTGGGGCTTCGCACTGCTTCTTCCGGGACCACACGACACTTACTCCGCTTCCAGCACCGGTCTCTGTGGCTCTGGCTGATCCCACCTCGGGACCAGTCACTGCTCGCTACACTACTACTCTTCCGTGCCCAGCTGTTCCCTCTGGGTCTCTGACTGGCTTCCACGTCCCCTCGTTCTCGCGGAACTTGGTGGGCGTGAGGCCTCTTGTGAGTCAGCATGTGGGTGTGTGGATTGAGCCCTCTGGTGAGATGGCGTTTTGTGTTGACGGAGACACTTATACGCCTCTTGCCACCTTTACAGCTGAGCCGGGCTCTGGTCTCTACACACTTCACACTAGCTCTGGTGGGCAGCAACAGCAGCAGCAGCAGTAGTAGCATCAGCAGCAGCAGTGGCAGCAGCAGCAGCGACTACTGCCCTCGGCCCCTGTTCTTCCCCCAATCCGGTCCCTGCGTCTCACCAGGTTGCTGCGTCTCCCCAGGTAGCTGTGTCTGGTCAGGTTCCCGTCTCTAGTCCAGTTGCTGTGTCGTGCTCCTGCCGGTCAATTTCCCACCCCACCGTTCTGTGGCACCACCAGATGGGGCACCCGTCTCTCCCTCGTCTGCGCGCTATGTCTCGTCAGCGTCTTGTCTTAGGCCTCCCACATGTCTTGCCGTCGCTACCACCTTCGCTTGCACCACCGTGCGGTCCCTGCATCGAGGGTAGGCTGCGCGCCACCCCTCAATCCTCCTCTCTTCGTCCGGCCACTGAGCCTTTTGAGATGCTCCACT